CTGTAATGGTCTTTGTGGGTATAGTAAACGTAGGAACTGTAATGGTCGGTATGGTTATGGTTCTAAGTGTAGACATGAATGTAACACACGGATCGGGTGTAATAGGAAATGCAATATCCCGAGAACCTCCAGAATTTAAGTTGATTGGATTGGACTTTCCATGTTGACACATTATCGTCAGTATACAGACCACATAGATTATGATAAGCATAATGCTGTTGGAAAAGAATACCATTGTAATTTATTACAGCTGCTTTTCAAAATATGCGTAACAATCTAATTGTGCTAAATAGACATATAAATGCTAACAATGATAGTTACTGTGTGTTTAAAGGTATACTCCTCTTGAGCGCAATAGTTCAATATATATTGACTATTATCTATTCTGTTGTGAAAATCATTGTAAAAGATGCCTAGTAGTGGTGGGTAGCTGAGAAAAGGATAAAGAAAAAATTCCAGCATCTATTCTCACTCTTATTCTGATGATAGGCCATTGATTGTCAACACGAAAGAAACAGTTCTTGAATAAAAAACTAAAAGATTCGGTTCAAAATACACATACAACCGTCAAGTATTATTTAAAATACATTCGACGTTTTTCTATGTAGAACATTTTTGGTTCTCTTGTATTGTGTATTATTGGTTATCGTCTTTAAATATTATCTTTGTGTCTTATTCATATATATTCAGCGAACTAGTTTTGCGAGCAACTGTCCGACGAACAACTGTCCTGCGAGCAACTCTCCGTTTCCCCTTTTTCACTAGTCACCAGGCGCATTCGAATTGATACTTCAAAACATTACATACCGAAGCACTCATTGTTTCTGAAAAATATACTTTTCCTATCTTTATCGTCTATGAGCAACAAAAAATGCACGAAAAGACTTTTTTCTTACGTGTCTTATAATAGCCGGTTGGAAAGGATTAATCGACTCCTTCTCTAAAAAGTATTATTGCTTCTTGGCATCATGCACGAATGGTAATACTTGTGCAAATACTACTCAATATATTTCACTGAATACACAGTAGCCAAATCTTTATATTTATATATGCAACAGTATTTATTCATACCTGAACGAACGCAGAAAAATATTTCATAGCTTTAGGCTAATTACTTTCATGAATAATCCGACACATTTTCTATCGACTCACAACATATTTTTGAAGTTTCTTATCAACATGATGCATTTTCGGATTGACCGACATGTTCGCGCATCGTATTGTTTCATTGACACTTACAACACGAATTTTTTTTCACTCATTCAACTTAATTCATTTTATCTGTAGTGAATAATTGTTCTATTTTTGTTATTAGACTAATGATTAAGAATAAAATGTTAATTCAGATCATAGGATTAATTAATTAAGAACAAAGAAATATGATTAAAATCAGACTTAAAATAAAGTGGATTAAATAAAAGAACATGAAGAAATTGAAATCTCGATATCATTTGATAACTTTTTAAGTCAAAGTTATGTCTATCATTCTTTCAAGTAAAAATAAAGATCAACTTCTCTTCGAGGGCTTTCGTTATCGTCGTGACAGATCGGTTTGGCAGTGTATCAAAGACAAGTACAAAGGTCGTGCTCGATTTGATGAAAATATTTATGAAGCATATAAAAATCATACATGTCAAGCACCAAATCCAGAAGAAATTGAAAAAGCTGTATATAATTATGAAATTCGAAAAAAAGCTGAAAATCCTCATGATCCACCATGTTTAATAATTCAAGAAGCAAGATTAAAATTATCTTCAGACGCGGCTGCTGTTATTTCACAATATTTAGCATCACAACGTTCAGTTCAGCGTATCCGAAAGGATAATGATATTCCAAAAGAACCTACTTCGTTTAGTGAAATTGTTATTCCACTTAAATTTCAATTAAGAACTTCAAATCAACAATTTTTACTATATGATAACGATGATAATCAAAATCGATTATTAATATTTGCAAGTCGAGACCAACTGGATCTTCTTAATGGACGTGAAGTATGGCATTGCGATGGTACCTTCGCGGTATGTATTTGAAATAATATTTAAACCTTATAATATATTTGTTGTTAAACTCATAGGTTGCACCAAAATTATTTGAGCAAACGTATTCTATTCATGGCTTAATTCGTGGAAAAACATTACCGTTAATATATTCTCTTTTACCAAATAAAAAAGAAGAAACATATGAAACATTATTTCGAGTAGTACAACAGCATGTTCAACGCGTGCCACGTTATATAACAATAGATTTCGAAAAAGGAGCAGAAAATGCATTTGCTATTGTGTATCCTCAAAGTCAAATACTTGGTTGTTTTTTTCATTTTAAGCAAAATATTTGGAGGAATATTTCAGTAAGTTTAATATTATTTTCTGCTATATGTAGTGTTTTTTCTTCGTTTTTTACGGGAACTTGGTCTGAAAAAAGAATTTCTTGAAAATAACATTAGTCGTCGAACTATGAAAAATTTAGCAGCATTAGCATTTGTTCCTGAACAAGATGTCATTCGAACATTTACTGAAATTAAAGAATCTGCTAATGAAATCTTAGACGGTAAAAACCTTTACCTTTATGCATACTTTCACTATTTGAAAGCGTTGAACTTTTAGATCTGATTATATACTTTGAAGACAATTATATCGGCAGAAAAATGTCAAGAAATCGTTGAAGTCCTCCTCGATTTAATATCTCCATGTGGAATTGTTTTAGAAGAATTAACCTCGATTTACCCAGAACTAATAACGGAGCAGAGGGCTGGCACAACGCTTTTCATCTAAGAATATATAATTATATATCTTTAAACTTAACTATGGAACAACTTTTTGTAGAATATGATTGGTGATCATCCAAGCTTTTTCGAATTTCTCAAAGATATCATTAGAGAAGAGAAAAATACAAATGTTGTTTCAACTCAAATGCTCATTTGTACAACTACACAAACTAAACGAAAAAAATATGAAAAGATCAATGATCGCGTCAAAGATATGGCGAAAAATTATCTCGATGGTTCACGCGAAGATTATTTGAAAATAGCGAGATCAGTATATAATTTTTGAAGTTCTAACTCTATTCACTTGCTGTGCGATGTTATTTGTGTAATTTCTTTTTGTATGTATTTGTTCAATAAATTGATACTCATTGAAAAGCATATCTATTAACTTGAATATATGAAAACAATTCGTCAGGTAATAATCAGTGAAATAGTATGATGCGCGGAAATGTCCATGCGCGAACATGTCGTTGCGCGAAAGTATCGTCCGCGGTAACGTCGGCGCGGAAATGTCGTGCGCGGAAATCTCGTGTCACGGCATTTTCGAACATTTCACCCTGAGTGAAGCATACGGTCGGGGGTGTGGGTGTGGGTGTGTGGATGTGGTGGTGGGTGTGGGTGTTGTGGTGGGTATGGAGTGTGTGAGTGTGGATTTGGGTGTGGGGGTGTGGGTACGGGTGTGGGTGTGGATGGGTGTGGGATGGGTGTGGGTGTGTGGGTGTAGATGTGAGTGTGGGTCCTGTTCTTCTAAACTCTAAAAAAAATAGGTATCCTAGAAAATCCTTAGAGGGTTTCCGAATTTGTTACTATAGGAAACCCTTTAAGGCTTTCCGAAGAAGGGTTTCTGAGGTCTCGGAAACCCATAATGTCCATCATATCGAAACCTCAAATACTCATTCGGAAACCCGAAAAAAAAGGTTTCCGAATGAAAAAAAGCTGTAGCTAGCTACTCAGAAAAAAAGATGTCATACTGAACCTTTTAAGGTTCTAGATTTGGCTACCATTTTCCGAGCCATTTAAGGTTTAATCAAAAACTGGTTCTAGCTGGAACCTTTCCCTTTTTCTTCCAAAACTGGTTCTAGAGTAGTAAAATGTAGTCCGCCACACTCAATTACTCTAGTACTGGCGAGTACTGCTATAACCAATCGTTAATTTCATATTTAACCCCTTATTTCTACCTCTAAACCTTAATTCCATCCTTAACCCTTAAACCTATCCTTAACCCTTATTTCTATCTTTAACTCTTAAACCTATCCTTAATCCTAATCCCTATCCTTAACCCTTAAAACTATCCCTAACCCTTATCTCTATGTGTTATATTTACCTACAGGGTGTCCCAAAAGTCCCCAACAAAAGTTTTTGTAAATATCTCTTATACAATTTCAGCGATTTAATCGGTTTTTTTATAACATGATATCATATTCTTTTAAGTTTTATTTTAGTAACAAAACCGTTAACAGATACTATTTTGAACTGTCACTTTTGACTTCAATATCCAAGTGTACCCACTTTCGATTTCTAAACTAACATTTTCGAAGGAAATTTCCCGAGATATTTATTCCGACCTGAAGCGTTGACCAAATCGAGGGCTCACTCAGACTAGCTTCGGTATAAAATTTCAGAAGTTTTCGATGTAGTTTTTCTGAGATATGAATTTTTCAAAATTTAGGCGTTTGTCCATGTAACTTTTGCAAAATTTGAAAAATGCATATCTCAAAAATACTAGATCCAAAAGTTCTAAAATTTTGGCCAGAAGCTAGTCTGAGTGAGACTTCGCGTTGGGCAAAGTTTCAGGTCAAAATTCGAAACTATAATTGCCTTTTGAAAATGGGGGTCATCAGGGACATAACCCACTAAAAATTTCATATCCCAGCCAAAACTGCATAAAAGCATGAACCTTTTGGAGGTCGTTGTAGTAGAGTGGTCGTGTAGCAAAAGGAAAAATATGACCTCAAAAGTGTCTAATCATCATATGGGCTCAAAAGCTTTTCATCATCTCGGGTATTCGTATTTTAGAAAAATCGAAAATTGATACATTTTGATATTGAAGTCAAAAGTGACAGTTCAAAATAGTATCTGTTAACGATTTTGTTATTAAAATAAAACTTAAAAGAATAAGCTATCATGTTATTAAAAAAACGATTAAATTGCGTGAATGGTATAAGAGATATTTACAAAAACTTTTGTTGGGGACTTTTGAGACACCCTGTAGATTTGTTGTGAGCACAATAAGAGCCAGCGCTTCGTTCTCTATTCGCACAAAAAGGGCATCGCCGTTACGTGTTGTTGAGATGATCCTAAACAAAAAGAAGAAGAGTAACTTATATTGTAAGATTGAACTTACCACTGAATTGATTATTTACAAATTCCCAAATAGATAACAACATTAACTCATTTAATCATATTGAACTTGCATTTCAATTGATTATTGCTACATACTTAAATAAAGAAAATATTGAAGTCATTTAATCAGATTGCAATTACCTTTCTATCAATAATTGTGACATATCAAAATAGGTAATAGAATAATCACATTTTATAAGTTACCACTTATTATTGAATTGCTTATCGAGACACATCTGCACAGGTTCATGAATCCAACAATGGGATCTGATCGGAGCCGGCCAGATCCCACAGCATTCTGATATAATCCCCTCGCATCTTATAAGGATCCGATAGGAATACATCGAATGCCCGGGTTGAGTAATCCGACTCGTATCCCCAGGGTCGAAATCGATGGTGGCGGATTCGGATTTCTGGACCTCAATAACCTATTTCAAACTTTGATCAAAATTCAGATCGGAGTTGAAATAAAAAGTCTAACTTTGCAGCCGTCGATTTTTTGATGGGCCCAATTTCTGACCAATGGGAGCTCGGATCGAAAAAATGATGACGGATTCGGATTCCTAGACCTCGGTAACCTATTTCAGATTTACATTAGTTAAATCATGTTCAGAAAATATCGCATCTTGGTTTTAGCTAGAACCATTTTGGAAAAATGATTCAGCGTAAAAAAAATGGTGCAAGACAGAACCCTTTCAAACACCCGGAACTATGCATGATCTGAAATGGTTCTTTAAAGTCGCTAGAACCCTCGATGGTTTATTAATAAACGAATAAAACCTTGAAAGGTTTAGTATCTTCGGTAGAAGCATTTTTGAGTCCAAATGGTTCAGTATGACGCCTTTTTTTCGAGAGTACGAAATGTTTAAATCATCGGGAATCCTTTAAAATGTTCAATGAAAGTTCAGACTCCTATTTTAGTTGACTGTGACACCATTTTCAATTTAGGTATTTTCGTAAACCCATTTTGGATTCTTATAATACCCTTTTGAAATTGGGTTTTTTCGGAAACCATTCAGGAAATGAAAAGGTACTTTCGCATACCCTTTCGGATACTAACTCAGTTTTTCTTCTAATATGGGTTTTCGACAATACCTTTCCAGTTTCCGAGACAACATTTGGGTTTCCGACAGCAAGAAAAAGGTATTCTAGAATACTTTTAGAGTGTTCAATTGGGGAGTGTAGGAAACCTCTAGGTTTCCGAACGTTGGGAAACCGAAAGGGTATTTTTAGAAAAGCTTTCACTGTTCTGAAACCCTCTCGGAAACGGATAAGGGTTTCCGAGTGGGTTTCCGAACCCCTTTCGTTTTTCTAGGATACGGAAATTTTTTATAGTGTATGAATAACTATTCTATGACGACCCCAATAATGAAGAATAGGGTGCACAGAATGGTTAGGACTATTCCAGATATAATAAATGCGGAAACTTCGGATTTAAATCCGAGCGTTATGCGTACTTCAAAAAGTGAATCATACAAATCAATCATCCTAGACTGCCTGAATATCAAAATTATACTGTGAAATCTACCATTTAAAATGTTGATTTCTATTGCGCGTTGCCAAACCAATAGGACATGGGACCGAATACAACTCAAGTTTGAACTCTTTCCCTTGATTTACCCTAAGAAAGTCGTTTTTCCTATAACTTCATTTCTATTGGTCACTGCACAACTAATAGTATTTCGATGGAAGTGCAGTACACATTGGAGTTCTCCATATCTGAAACCCTCGAAGTATCATCAGTGTGACCGGAAGAAAAAGCTCTATTTGTGGATCAATTAGATCGTGGACCAAAATATAACCCAGTTCTCTTTAATCATGCTTGTCTTAGGTAAGTCAACCTTCTTGTTTCTTTATGTTTTATATATCATTTTGTAGTTCTTGAAATTCTCTATCGAATGGTATATAATAGTTGGGGTTTTAATTGACTATGATAGGAAAAGTCTTTTACGAAAGTGGCGATGGGTCCATTTTTCCACAGAAAGCTGTAGGGAAAAATGGGTATCTTTGCAATAACTCAGGAATGGCTCGGCCGATCCTTCTCATCTTCGAACTCGACCGAGATATTGTCAAGACTAAGCTATGTAGAAAGTTTCATCGCAATCTGACTCTGCTGTCAAAAGTTATCATGTAAACAGCCAACCGGACGGACGGACACACTGACTATTCTGTAGTGTACTCACTTTTTGAGTACACAAAACTATGAGTCGGTTCAAAACTAATATCAGATTCAGATTCAGCGTTAAAAACTGAGTCGATTTATGTATTTTGTGAATAATTATGAGCAAAAAAGTTTTTTTCGAAAAATCCCCGTACCCCCCCTCAGGAATGGTCTGGTTAAAAATCACAATTTTTTCGATAACTTACACATTTCTTAACGGATCCTTCTCATCTTCGAACTTGACCGAGATATTGTAAAGACTGAACTGTATAGAAAATTTCATCGTGATCGGACTCTCTTTTCGAAAGTTATCGTGTAAACGGCTGGACGGCCGGCCGGTCATACTGACCGATTCTAGAGTGTACTCACTTTTTGAGTATACAAAAAGATTTTGAGAGCTCTCATTGTGATATTCTTAACCAGCACCTCTCAATCTACCACTACATCTGATTTTGACTCGTGAAAAAAAAAAAAATTTTTTTTTTCGTGATACCTGAGGGGGACCCCAGGCACAAAAATGGTCAATGTCGATTTTCGGGGAATAAAGTTGAAAAAAGTGATCAGAGACGTTCCCGCTTTCCACAAGTCAGAAACGCTCACGCTCATGAGCGCTCACATGAGCGTGAGCGTGAGCGCTCATACCGCTCACGGGAGCGTGAGCGTGAGCTGTACACCCCTAAAACCATTACGTGCTGTTTTGTTTTACGAAAGATCGATGAGAATTAAGCCTATCATCGAACATGAAAGAATATACCTTGTGTAATTTTGATGTATCCTTCGACTATCTCGCATGTTCACATTTACTCTCATTTGTATATATACATATATATG